TTTTCCGAGAGAATATGATGTTTAAAATCTCTTGCTTTTCCTTATAATGATAGGTTTTCCATCTGATTTTCTTAGTTTAAATTTAAATTTCCAAAATCAAGAGCTATCTAATAATTACGCGAAAGGAACTACTTATGGAATAAGACCTCTGTGGCGTGTTTTGTCTCTTAGTTCGATCCTCCCCTCGTTCCAAATGATTATTCTTCCCTTTTCCTCTGCAGATAAACGAGGTTGGGATTCTGCTCATCCGGCTTTCTCCTGTAAAGAAATTCTGGACTCTGGACACTCCAAAGGAGACGGGGAGTATTGGATCGACCCAGAGAAGAGTGGAAACCCTTTGAAGGTCTATTGTGACATGTCAAGATCTGGTGGTAAGAGAATGAATTGTTTTTTTGAGACACGAGGACTTCAACAATAGTATATCTGACTTGGTAGAGTTGTTATTGGAACGTTATGGTCTTGGCTATTCTTGCTTTCTCTACCAAGATCCTTATTATGTTTTGAATCAAAACTACAGCAGAATTCTCGAAAGTGATTGGTTATCATCAGCCGGCCGCTTTGATCACTAACCGGACAGTGTACGCGTCATATTTGTAATTGAACAGTGTAATAGGACCGTTAAAAGGGACAGTTAACGCGTCATGCCTGTGTGAGTGGACAGAACGCGTCATGTGCGCACTGTTGTCTCGCATTTTGCCGAGTAAACTGTTGTTTTTCGTTTTTATGAAAACGTATAACCGATGTCTAGTTTCTTTCTCAAATTTTGTCATAGTTTTGACTAATTGGTAACAGGCCTTCTTGTCGTCCAATTCTGTCTGTAGTGATACGAGTGATTAACAAATCGGACTCCCACTTTGCGGTCGTACGATTTTGGAAATCACTCGTATGATTACAGACCGAATTGGACTCCACTCGGTCCTGTTACCATTTATTATGTCCAAAATTCTAGTTACATGGATGTCACCAGATCATTTAGGTTTGTTTTATTTTAGGAGGTTGGCTTCTGGTGTCAAATGTTGAGTTCGGAAGTCCCTCTCCTAAGGTGTCAGTTGAGACATCATACCGTGGAATAGGTAAGTCACACATGGTTCTGCAGAAGAGTGCCATGAAAGAGCTCAGAAGATACTTGTCCTTCACTCAGCTGAGATTCCACTGCCGCAAGAAACAGGGACGCACATTCCACGTGGTCACAGCTTCCAACAGCTCAGGTGAAGCTGTGGTCCAGTACTTCAGCGGTCAGATAGATGAGCAACCGGACGCCTGTGGTTCGTTTGTGAGATTGACGTGGGATGACAATTCCAAGTTAGCTGGCATTTGCAAAGATTGGGGGAAGAGTAAGCGGAGAGTACTTAGTTGGAAAGTGGGGACATGGTGAAGATCAAAACAGGCTATACTGGTATCCCGTCTTCAAAAGAAACATGTATCACCTTAGGGTCCAACTGCATAACGCTGACGACCTCAAAAAAATGGAATGTGATGATGGCTCCGGTCACAATGTTGACACAAACGGCGATTTCTGGAGAGTCTTTGTTCGTTAGTTGCGTCTATCTGTACACCAAGCAACCCTTGACTGTGCGAATAACAGTAACAAACGAATAAAGCAAAATAAAGACAAATGCACCGTTACACTCATCAGGTTATAAGTATTTTTTTTCTTTCCATTTCGGGGCAAGGGAAAGCAATCCTCATTGTTTCCCGTGGGGCCAGTCATTTTAATTTTAATTTTTGAAAATATTTTCTCATACATCCCAAACCGAATATAACTGCCAAAAATCACTTTTTGTACGTAGGCTGGCACACACATTTGCCGCGGTTTCACGGTGAACAACCTTATCGCGCGAGAGTCGAAAGTTAAAGTTGTTGTCTCCTCGGGGGCTTAGAGAATTTTGTTCACCCTAGAAAGTTAGTGTATTTTGATTCACGGTGCGTGACATATTCAACCATCCGATCAAAAAATCTATTTGAGTTGAGAGGTACATAACGATTAAATAACTGCTTCCTTATAAATAAAAGGTTGAACTAGTGACCATGTCAACCTCAACGTTAAGTTGAAGGACTCTAAACATGATTAGCTAGTTGATCGGATCGCGAGCGTCGCACGTGAACACTAAAAATTCCAGAGGAAGAGGAAAGAAAAGTTTGCAGTTCGAAAAAAGTGCACTATTGACACAAGAAAATTTCAACGACCTGTTTGATACGAAAAAACCATGCTTAGCAGAAGAGGTCGAGGCTAGCTGGGAAATCTCCCGGACAATAAAAATGTAATCATACAGATTTTGACCTTCAACCCCTCGGGGATTGGGGGAGGGTTTTTTCCACTTTTTAGACATGACACGAGTTTTTATACTGTAACCAATCACAATCAAAAAAATTTTAATTTTCAATGATTGAGAGGTTTACATCAAACATAATAACCGGGCAATATATATATATATATATACTTTTTTTTATCGTGTTCATTGTTCAGAGCTTCACACAAGTCAAGAACTATATTATGCTCTTAGCACCCATAAGCTCCTTTTTTTAGCTAATTGTCGAGGGAGGACTGTCCGTTCATTTTTCTTGTTTTTACTTTAATCCTTACCGGCTTTACGCCTAACCATGGGAAGAATTCTCCATTTGACTACCTCAAGATAAAATAAGAATCTGAAATAAAAGGAATGACAAAAATACAGATAAAATGCATCATTTTACGCGACAGCACACTTACAGTCTAGACAGTCAGAACTATTGCTAGGAAACGTGATAAAGTGATTCATTGCTTTAAGACGGCCCAACTACAACTAGAGGGCGCTTAAAAAATTTAAAAAAAAATTTATAGTTTAAAACTACATGGTTATAAATAGTTTATAGTGAAAACTGCTGTACTTTAAATGGAGAATTCTTACCATGGTTACGTGTGACCATGGTAAGAATTCTCCATTTAAAGTACAGCAGTTTTCACTATAACCTATTTATAATCATGTAGTTTTAAACTAAATTTTTTTTTAAAATTTTTTAAGCGCCCTCTAGTTGTAGGTAGTACAATGGAGAATTATTCTCCATTGTACTCCCTCAAGATAAAATGAGAATCTGAAACAAAAGGAATGACAAAAATACAGATAAAATGCATCATTTTGCGCAACAGCACATTTAAAGTCTAGGCAGTCAGAATCATAGTTAGGAAACGTAAGAAAGTAATTCATTGTTTTAAGACGACGAAACTACAACTAAAGGGCGCCTAAAAACTATACAAACTATAGGATTGTGACGTAAGACCCCGCATAGACTGTTCCATTTCAAGCTTGACTTGTTCATTTCACTTTTGTATTTTTGGCGGTTACGGCGTAAACCAATTGCTGTAACACTAAATCAATTTGGTTTGTACTAAACCTTTTGTCGTCACGCTAAACCATTTCACTTTCCGGTGAGTAGATTGATGCGTTACTAAGCCATTGTGGCCTACTATTAACCATTTGCCGATAGCTTTGGCCATTTCACACTACTCTGAACCGTTTGTGTCAAGGCACTGAACCAAATTACAACTAGCTAAACCGTTTGTCACTTCTACACTGAGTTGACTAACTTTTGCAAGCCAGCGGACAAGTTTTAATCCTTAGTAGGTAAGGTTCCTTTATATGAACTGGTAATTTAAAAAGCCCTCCGTATTCTTTCGCCGAGTCAGACAAAGTGTAATTAACAAAACCCTAAATTCGCAATCAAAATTATTTGTTGCATCAAAAAAGGGAAAGCGCGAAATTTGTCATCTGTTTTTCTTTCTTTCTCAAATTACAGGATGAGAGGGTATCTAGTTGGTTTCCAGTTCTGACCCGTTCTGTTGAGTGGTGTTGCTGTATTTCATAAGGGACTGTAACAATATTACGATCCCCCTCTTTGGCAGTCAATTTTCTACACTTCCGGTCTCTTTTTATACTCAGTTGGCCACATGGGATTGTCCCAAAATCGGGTAAAAACAACGGAAACTTTCTACACGCAACTCTCATAACTCTTAGGGCTTCTTCATATTTACCTGTGCACGATATCAAGAATCAAGATCACCTCTTAAGACAGGGTGAACAACTACACACAAACTGTATTATGATAGTATCCAAAGTAAACTGTATAATAATAAAATGAAACACGATTGTGTTGTTTTTCTAGGACTTGAGCTAGTTGATCGTATCACCAAGATATTATACGCTGACGAAATAAGCTGTGGATTGAGATGCCCTCAAGATAAAAAATGCCAATCTTACAACAGCAAATCCGATGTTAGTGATGCAAAGAAGTAATGTCAGCTGAGTAACCGAACTAAAAAATCAAGTCCCGGAAAACTTGAGGCATAACCCACGTTCTAATTATTATGGAAGAAGTACCGTTGAGTAAGGTGCTTAACTTTAGGAACAAGTCATATTTTTACCACCTGGGTAGAAGGGTGGAAGAGGGGGAAGGAAAGGTCACAGCATTTCGGTTCTCACAATTAATCGAGTCAGCCAATTTTCAAATCAATTTTCAATTTAGGTTCCACCTTAAAAGTCTGTCAGCGACGACCGATCCCATCTCCGTTCCCTTTGAAAACCCCTCCCACTCCCACTCCCTTTTTCCAAGCGAAGAATGGTGACCTATTCCTTACTTCTCCTAAGGACTTTTCAGAGAATATAAAGTCTATGATCTCTTGCCTTTCCTTATAACTTTTCCATTTTTTTAATTTGAGATAGAAGGATGCTATGTATCCTACAAATATTTCCAAAATCAAAAGCTATCTAATGATCACGCGAAAGGAACTACTTTTCGAATAAGACCTATGTGAGGTGTTTTGTTTCTAAGTTTGATCCTCTCCTCGTTCCAAATGATTATTCTTCCCTCTTCCGATGTAGATAAACGAGGCTGAGATTCTGCTCATTCGGCCATCTCCTGTAAGGAAATTTTGCGCTCTGGACACTCCAAAGGAGACGGGGAGTATTGGATCGACCCCGAGAAGAGTGGAAACCCCTTGAGGGTCTATTGTGACATGTCAAGATATGGTGGTAAGTGAATAAGTTTTTTTTAGAGACACGAGGACTTTAACCGGAGTATATTTGACTTGGAGCAGTTTCTATTAGAACATTCTGGTCTTGGCTATTCGTGCTTTCTCTACAAAGATCCTTATTGTGTTTTTTAATCGAAACTGTGACCAAATTCTCGAACGTGATTGGTTATCATCAGCCGGCCGATTTGAGCACAACAAGACAGTATACTTGTCATAGTTGTAATTGGACAGTGTAATAGGACAGTTAAAGGGACAGTTAACACGTCATGCCTGTATGAGGGGACAGAACGCGTCATGTGCGCGCGCTGTTGTCTCGCATTTCGCCGAGTAAACTGTTGTTTTTGGTTTTTCTGAAAACGTATAACCAATGTCTAGTTTCTTTCCCAAATTTTGTCATAGTTTTGATTAATTGGTAACAGGCCTTCTTGTTGTCCTATTCTGTCTGAAATCATACTCGTGATTAACAAATCGGACTCCCGCTTTGCGGTCCTACGATTTTGTTAATCACTCGTATGGTTACAGTCCAAATTAGACTCCACTCGGTCCTGTTACCATTATTAATATGTCCAAAATATTATTATGAATAAGATGCCAGTAGTCTAAGTTATTGGTGCAAATCACCAGCTCAGTGCCCAGATAGTCCAATAATCAAGAGATTTTCTTGTAGCTGTCATTGTGTTATTATGGGTGGCAAACAAAGTTTGTCTTTTTCCGTTGTTACTCGATTGAAGTATGTTGTACAATACTTTCTTCACAGCTTGAAGGAGGATGTGAGTTAGCCATCATGTGTGATATCATTTATGCTGGAAACAAAGCTAAGTTTGGTCAACCAGAGATTTTGCTTGGAACTATTCCAGGTATGGCACACATAAATTACCCACAGAAACAACTTTATCAGTTTGCACAATAAGAAAATATAATATATTCCACTGACCTTGATTAAAATATCAGAGAGCAGAAATAAGCTACAGGATAGCAGATGAAGAAAATGAAAATGATGCCTTCTCCTTTCCAAGATTTTTTTATACTTCTTAAGAGTATTAGTCACTAGCCCCTTACACTCGTACATCAGTCTGCACCTTGAGGGACACCACACTTGATGGTTTGCATAGGAGAGCAAGCTTGATTGAATTGGGCAAATTGCTGGCGGCAAGAAAAGTAGCTTTTGAACCACTGCAGAGCCACGTCACGGATACCATAGTGCTCCAATTTTGCAAACAAGATATGATGATCGAGAGTGTCAAATGCTTTGGAAAGATCTAGGAAAACACCCACCGTTGTTTCGTGTTGGTCGATTGCAGAAGCTATTTTATTTACCAAATAAATGAGTGCGTGCGATGTCGAGTGATTTTTCCGAAATCCAAACTGACAGCGGTAAAGTATATCTTGTTTTTCGGCAAATTCTACCAAGCGATTGTACATCCTCTGCTTTGAAGATGGGAATAATTTTAGCGATTTTAAGTTTGTCCGGGAAAATGCCTTTTAGCAGAGATAGATGATAATATCTGCCAATGGAGCAGAAATAAGGTGAAATGAATATTTAATGACATGCATTGGGATACTGTCATAGCCAGGAGCCTTCTTTGAAGCGAACATGTCACAAATGCTTTCCAGTTCACTTTTTGTGGTGGGCTTTAAGTTTATGGAGGGACGGATATTATCACCAAGATAAGAACGAAAAGAAGGATTCACCTTGGGTATAGATTTAGCTAGGTTGGGACCAATGTTTGTAAAGTATTTACAGAATCTGTCAGCGATCTCCATTGGATCCGTTAATGTTCTGCCTTCAGATTTGAATGATGTGGGAAGAGATTACTTACTTTTACGCTTGTTGATAACTTCATTTAACAATTTCCAAGTTGTTTTGAGGTCATTTCTGGCATTCTAAAATTTGGAGTCGCAGTATTTACGTTTGGCAATGCGAATAAGATGGGTGAGTTTGTTTTTGTAGGCTTTATACTTGGTCTCAGAAGATGTGGAAGATGATGTGACGAACTTTTTGTAGAGTCTGTTCTTCTTGTTAACGGATTTCAGAAGTCCACGGCTAAGCCATGGAGAAAAGAACTTGTTTACCTGCTTACCTTTGAGAACCTTTAAAGGGAAACAGGTGTTATAGATTCTGGAGTATCCTTCAATAAAATCATTATAGGCTTCATTGGGATCTTCCATGTGGCGAAATAAGGACCATTTTGCGTTTGAAAGGTTCTCGTTGAATTTATGCAAATTATCGTCATTGAATGTGCGCATCACAATTCTTCTTTCTGTGCTGCGCGTTAGAGTTGCGTCGTCAAAATATGCAAAAACGGGTAAGTGGTCAGATAAATCATTTAGAATAATGCCGCTAAAAACACTAGGGGCAAGGTTGTTGGTGAATATGTTGTCAATTAGCGTCGCAGAGTATGAGGTGAGGCGTGTTGGATTGGAGATGAGAGGAAGAAAGGCGTGTGAAAATAAGCTGTCAATAAATTCCTGTGTTGGAACATGATGATTGTATTGGAGAAGGTCTAGGTTAAAGTCTCCCATCACATAACAGTGTTTATTGCCTTTGGAAATTAGTGAGAGAATATTGTTGAATTTGTCAATAAACATAGCAGCGTTTTGATTTGGTGGTCTGTAGACGCAACCAACAATAAATTTTTTCCGTGGGGAACAATAATTTCCAAGAAAAGTGACTCAATTACATCTGGATCTGAAAATTTGCATTCTTCGAGAAGTTTGTATTCAAGGCCGTTTTGTAAATAAATTCCAACTCCGCCGCCTGTTTTCGATTTACGATGGTTGGAGACAAAATTATATCCCCTGATATTTACGTGCTCTGCAGTGCAATTAGTTAGCCAAGTTTCTGACACACCAATCACAGAGAACGGCATATTAAGATTTCTTAGCAATAAATTAAGTTGATCGAAATTTCTTATTAAGCTTCGAGTGTTGAAATGTATAATAGAAAAGTTTGTTTTGTCGCCAAAAGAAGTTACTCGATTGTTCAGATCTTCCTCAACCATGTAGCCACTATTGGGCAGGTTAGAAGATGACTAGAAAGTGGATTAAATGATTAAATAATAATGTTTCAAGACGGTCGGCATCGTGACTCAAGGGACCATGAGAAAATTCATAAACTGCTAAATTAAAGGAACTATCATCCAAGTGATTAAAAGGGAGGAAAGGTTGAAAGGGTGTGTTGTCAGCCATCATAGAAGAAGCAAATTAAATTACAGACTAAGTTACAAATTCAGAGTACTTAGCTTAAAGGTAAGCTCTCTTGCCGAGCAAACCTTTCAAGTTCGTCAAGGGTTTTGAACTGGATAGGGCGGGAGTCTTCGGTTTGCCGTAGATAGATGGTGAAGTTCTTACACTAACAAAACCTGAAGCCATTACGAGTTTGAAATTTTTTCGTATCCGCCAGGAGTTGTTGAACCTGCGGAGTTAGATGATCAAAAAGCTTCACGTTCTCTAGTGTGCAATCGGCATGTAAACCAATTGAAGAAGCTGTAACCTTGCATGCATCTTTCCGTACGTTCATGACCTTCTCTTTAGCAATCCTTCTTGTGAACTTGCAAACAACTGGTCTCAGGCTGGAAGTGGCGTTTCTGGTGGGAATACGATGGACAATATCGGTATCTTGAATAGAAATTTCAACTCCTGCAGCTTGAAAGAGGCTAAGACATAGTGTAGTTGTGTCGGAGGCTGACTCACTTGCCTTTATTTCAGGGAGGCCGACGATCTTTACGTTGTATTGATAGCTGTAGCGCTGAATCAACTCTATGGATTTCCCAATCTCCTCCACTCGTTTAGACAGGACATTCAGGCGCGCCCAGAGCTGTTGTAAACTTTTATCCGCTTCCTGGCGAAGGTCATCGTAAGACTTGCCATAAAATTGGAGGGTGTTCAAAGTCTCGTCCTGTGATATCGCCGGTCGACTCGCTTAGCCGCCATTGTTGGAGACATTAGCATCGTTGACGCTAAGTTTGAGGGAATTCTGAAAGTCTTCAAAATTTTTCTTTAGAGCAGCAATTTCTGATTTGAGGCTTTCATTTTCTTTTTTAAGCGAGTTAACATTCGTATCAGGCATAGTTAGGGGAAAAAAATTGCATTAACGCGGAGCGATCAGATATTCGTCCGCACACCTCGCTCGCACAATTAGCATTCTCATTGTAAGGAGAAACTAGATGCTAGTCACTCTTTGGGGTCAAAGAGTTAAAATTTGCTTGAACTTAAAAAAAAGTGATATGATTTGGGGAAGTAAAGACTCGTAATCAGGAAAGATCATAGGAGTAAGATGGCTTTTTTATGAAATGGATATTTTTTTATTCTAGACTCTCTTATATTGCTGCTTTTATGTTCTTTAACCCTTTAACTCCCATGAGTGACCAAGACAGAATTTCTCTTTACACTATCAATACAATATTAACCAGATAAGTGGTGAGAATAAAGAAAAATTTCAATTTGGGGATAATTAGTTGATCCAATATTAAATTCTTTAAACTAAAATTATAAGAATTGTATGGTTGACAATAAGTAGAATTACAAATTTGATCTGGGAATTAAAGGGTTAACTGTGTCAAGCTTAAGTTTGTGCTTAAAGCTGCAACTAACTCGAAGATTTCTTTCATTAACTCGTGAATTGCGCGCATGCGCAAGAGCGAGTTGTAGGTACAATGTGGGTAATAGCACTCGCTCGCTCGATTGGTCGATTCCTGTAAACTTTTTTTCGATTTTAGGCTTTTGAGTGCATTTAATAGTTTTTGGCGAGCAATAAACAAACGAAATGGCGAACTTTGTTGCTCAGAATAGTGGTGGGGTGAAAAAGAAGCCAATAATAATTTTAAAAGAGTTTCTTTTTTTCGTTTTAGTTTCAACAAGCGGCGCCAGCGACTGGCAGGCATGCAAGGATTCACACTGAAATAACAGAACAATCTTCGTTTTTCATAAAATTGTAATTTACAATCCTTGAACTTGAAAACAATCCGAAGATTCATTGAAAATATCACTTACTGCGAAGCGCTCGGAGTTAACAGATGTTCAAAAGCTTTTTCTGTTATGGCGTGAGATTGAGGACAAAATCGATCATTACGTTTCGTATCGTGTGTTTTTCCTGTGTGAAGCAACAAAAGATGCCGGCGACTGACGAAGTTACAAGTTAACACGAAAATCAAATAACACCTAAACAAACAATTTTAGCTACCGATTTTCAGTGAATTTTTAAAGGACAATTTTCTTTTAAGTTTCAAGACAATTTGAAGATTCAAAATACATATTACGTACTAAAATGCGAAAGTTATACACCACAAAATTGATAAATAGGCCTGAAATGAAATTCTATCTTTTTGTTGATTATACATTTCCTAGCACGTGACTAAAATCTACCCAGGCGGAGATCCAAAATGACGGTGGCAGCCTTGGCTTAGTTACATCACTCAAAACTCGTTCCCGTTTGTCTCATTTGATAAAGAGGGAATCGTTAATTTTTTCATTAAGACAGTATTGCCTTGATTTTCTAATATTTACAATGATAGACAGTAAATTTCACTTTTCACCCACATTTACTTCCAACCTTTTCTTTTGAACCGGAAACAAAAATGATATACGTTTAAAACACATTACATCATTCACCCTTGTCAAATGTAATAGCATGATCATTTTAATTGTAATGCCTTCTTATCCCAACGTTACTTTGTTTCTTTGCTACATTATCGAACACTGAACTACCGCTCGTACTCTAGATATGACAATCAACCTCAAAATTCCCTAAACCAGATAACATTAAACATAATCCAAAAAATCATGTGTAAATTCACGAGTTTGCTCACAGAGCACTTTCATTTTTTTAGGTGCCGGTGGTACACAGCGACTTCCAAGAGCTGTTAGGAAGTCACTGGCTATGGAAATGATACTAACAGGAGATCCTATTTCAGCAGAGGATGCACAGAAATCAGGTCCATGTTCCTTTTAACTAATCTCCTATTTTTGACCAGTTGTTCATCATTACCTCTTTACATTACAAAATTGATCAACATGCAACTTCTCCCTGTAATAAATATACATCATCCAGCAAACGGATAATGAGAATATTTAACTTATCAGTTCAAAGTTGTTATTGATCCAACATCAAATTCTCATAACTAATTAAAAAGGAAATGTGTAGCAGCTAGAGGGGAGAATTAACAATCAGATCTTGGGGGTTAAAGGGTCAAGGAGGAAGGTACTTAGCATCGTAAGTCTTCCCGGTGGCACTAGGAAATTCTCACACAAATTATTGAGAAATGTATACAATACTTCCACATCATCAAGGACTGCAACGGAGACACACTGTTTTATGCTAAAAACTTGTGTAAGCCTGCAAAATTTGAATTAAAGGCGTAGATTTTTCCCTTCTGTTTGTTAGCATTTCCGCGAAGGAACCGTTCACTTCCGAAGATGTTTTTCAGAGTTTACGTAAACTTGCATGTCTTCAGTACTCCTCTCTTATTAAAAGCTCTCGGAAAAAGTTATTTGCACCAACCTTTCTCTTCGTGTTGATTCGAGTAGATTTGCTCTTTTTCCTTTTTTAAAAAAGTCGTAGTTGAGGCCGCGTTACTTCAAATTGTTCAGCTAGGTTAAAGGACTAAACTGTGAACTTGGGGCATGCCCTCCTGTGATAAAACTGGTGCACACTCATTCTTGAGATGTTTCTTTACCCAGATTCAAATTCAAATTACAGAATTAGACAGTTTTCCTATTTTTTATAAGGCCTGGTTAGTAAAGTCTTCCCCGCAGAAGAGCTCGTAAATGAAGCTATCAAGACAGCTTCTAAAACATCATCCTTGTCGAAGATCGCTGCACAAATCGCCAAAGAAGCTGTCAACACAGGTATTACCCTGGCAGTTGTAACCGTCCCATTGGCTGTTTCTTGCTATGAGTTATACTTCGATTAATCGAAGGATTTTATGTCTACTGCAATCGGCGTTAATCTTGTCCATCGCTAGTCGTTTCTCGTTGGTTTAGTAGTTAATCTCAAAACAATTATCTTTTCTATTTGACTGTTCTATTGCGAGACTATTGTGAGAGTTCCTTAGATAAATCTGACCAGCTTGACTGACCTGCTTGAGTCCAAAAGTTCAACAGTTTACAAGGAATGCATGCAAACACAATTTATTGTCGTTACATTCCCTTTGAAAGTTCCGTAGATGGTTGAATTTCCCAAATGTCTTTTTGTTCAGGCGTCTGAAATCCTTTTTTTCCTCTTTTATTTATTAGGCTACGAGAAGGACTGCATTTTGAGAAAAGAATGTTTCACTCAACATTTTCAACAGTAAGTTAATATTGATCGGCGTTTACACTTGAAAGAAGACGGCAATTGCAATACAAAGTGGTAAAGCCACTCAACCATTTCCCGAAAACATATCACCTACTCTCTCTGATTTAGAGCAATCCACTGAACTCTTCACGTCTTCTGCGCAACCGAAGTAAGTTCAATTTAAAACATGAAAATGTTCCTATGTTCTTACCAAAAGCGCAGCTCCATCTTTCTGCATGTAAACTACACACCACCCACAATTCCTCTATTCGCTCTGACGAACGGCTAAGGCTAGGAACGTCAGCTTTAGAAACTCTCTTTGGTGGCCACTTTGCATTATCAACGCTTTTGATAAAATTTATCTTTGTGATACCCCACCCACCGCAGCACCACAGTTTTTCTAGAAACTTACCCCGTCTATTCAAGTGTTACCATGGTGATGAATAACAGTATAGTGAACTTGTAAAGACTTGCGATGAAACTTTCCCTAAGGAAAATTTTCTCCTTTTCTTTCATTTCGCAGGACGATCGAAAGGAAGGGATGACAGCTTTTGTAGGGAAACGAAAAGCCGAATTCACGGACAATTAGTATCTGTTTTTTTCGAAAAGTTGTAGCCTGCGAGAACTTTCGATTGTTGTGTGGGAATGTTAAGGCAGGTGAAAGAATAATGAAAGCTTATGTAAAATTGTGTGAACAAAAACACTTAGCATGAATTTTTACCAAAAAAAAAACTTAACTAGCGAAATTGATAGAAAAAATTAAAATAAATAAAGTAAAATCATAGTCATTTTTCGTTCGTTCGCTCATCTGTTGAATGGATACCGTGGGGTATACATTGGGACTGGGGCGAGTATAGATTTAAGTTCTGGTCAGTTCGATGTGTTAATTAAGACTCGAGCCAGGAATACTAAGTGACGCTGTAAATGACGGCTCTTCAGTAAACTTTCTGGAAAATTAATCCGAGGCAAACCAAGTTTTTCGACTTGTTTCCTCACTGTTCACTTTTCTTTCGTTTGAATCAAATTCTTGGAAGAAAAGGATTTATTTGCTGTAAGGCACAAGAACAAGCCAGAAAGGTCAATGTCTGTATAATTACTTTTTTTTCGTCCACGATTCCCAGCTAGCTTCGACCTTTCGTGCTAGGCATGGTTTTTCTTAATAGTTTTCCGCCACATCAAATATTGCGTTGAAATTTTTTTGACTTTTCGTGAATTTTTTCCGAACAGCAAAGCGTTCTTTTCTTCTTCCACTGGAATGTTTGTATTCACGCGCGACGCACGTGATTCGACCAACTAGCCAATCATGTTTGGATCCTTGAACTTGATCTTGAGGTTGACGTGGTCAATTTCCTTAGCACTAGATCAACCTTATATTAAGAAGAAAGCAGTTGTGAAAATTTAATCGTTATGTACCTCCCAACTCAAATAAGTTTTCTGATTTGAGGAGAACATATCGCGGGCCGGGAATCAAAATACACCAACTTTCTAAGTGAACAAAATTCACTTAGCCCTGAGGGAAACAAGAACTTAAACTTTCGACTCTCACGTGATAAGGTCGTGCACTGTGAAACTGCAGCAAATGTGAGTGCCAGCCTGCGAAAACAAAATAATTTTTTAGTCATTTTCGAGTTGGGAGGTATAACAAAACACTTTTGAAAATTAAAATCAAAGTGACTGGCCCCACGGGAAACAGTGAGAATTGCTTTACCTTGACCCGCAGTGGAAACAAAACTCATTGTTTCCTTTGGAATCAGTTAGTCGCTTAATTTATCAACATTGCCAGGTGTCTGTATTAGAACTGTCTGTAAGCGAAAGTAAACACCATTAGTAGGGTAGCTAGAGTGCAAAAGGTGAGAAAATAATTAGAGCATCGAAAGAAATATATATTTCTTAGCATATTGGCTTCGGTTATTAGATTTAACTAACACGGGTGCAAAACAGGAACACACAAAAACATGTATGGTACAACAGATATACCGACACACTGTGACTCATAAATGTACGAGTTAGAACATGAGAAGGAATTTTGTCAGTTTCATCTCTGAAGAAAACTTTTAACCTTGAAATTACATCCTGTAGCTCTTTTTCATTGGGCGAATTTAGCTTTTCTGGTGGGAAAAAGTTGTTTTGTATCCTGAATGCGACTAATTGATACTCATAAAAAACCGGGTACAGAAGAAAAGAAATCCGGATAACCAAAAAAATCCGAATAATCTAGGTTTGCTTCCATTAAAGTTAAATGCCCCCATGCTTTACTCAATGTAAAGAAACGCTAACCCCAAGTCGTGATCAGTACTTCGTGCAAAGTTGACTGATGCATAATTTATGTATCGGTTCTCGAGCTATTTCTATTTATTTCTTTTAATTATTGTCTCAAGCTTCATTAAAATTGTATGAAAAGTTGATCTTAGAGTTTTTCAATAGAAAAATACGAGAAAAGTGGAAGGAAACTGAAGGTAAGAATATACTGGTTTCAAGGAGTAACCAAGTCATTCAATTTGGAGAAATTGGTTAAGTTAAACTTCAAAAGAAGATTGCTCTTCAACTTTGACAACAACTTAAATTTTGAATAGTCAGCCGCTTCGCGAAATACGTTTGAGTGAGAAGTATATATACAAAAGACCTTGACTACCGCATAAACGTGAGAAGAAAAGTCGAGGAAAAGTAAGAAAAGGAAGGTGGGTGTGAGTGAGAAACTCGATGTATTTACTTACTATCGGGTGAGTAACTTGTGCAAGCCAGCGGACAAGTTTTAGTCCTTAGCAGGAAAGATAGTTTTATATAACTTGGTAGTTTAAAAAGCCCTCGCATTCTATCGCCAAGTCAGACGGCAAAATTGTAATTAACAAAACCCTAAGGTCACAAAAATATTTGTTGCATCAAAAAAGGGAAAAAGGCGACATTTGTCATCTGTTTTTCTTTCTTTCTTAAATTACAGGATGAGAGGGCATCTAGTTGGTTTCCATTTCTGTCGCGTTCTTTTGAGTGGTGTTGCTTTGTATCTTGTGGCTTTCAGTTCGTCTGCTCGCACTGACTTGAGCAGGGACGAGGTTTTCGAGAGAACTGAAGGTAACATGTGAATGTTTTATACCTCCCGATATAGAGATTTTTTTTCCCGACGGGATGTGAATATTTCAAGTGTCATGGGCGAAAAGTCGGATCGGATGACACATTTTGGCTGTGTCATGATAAACTTTACATTCCCTCCCCCCCCCCCCCCCGCCCCCAATAAGGCTCTGGAATAATCTTACGATCCTCCTCATTGGCAGACAATTTTCTATACTTCCCCTTTTATACTCTGCCACAACAGATCCCCCCCATTAAAAAAAATATGAGATTGCCTCAAAATCGGGTAAAAACAGCAGAAACTTTCTACGCTCAACTCTCATAACTCCTAGGGCTACTTCATATTTACCTTTGTGCACTATCAAGAATCAAGATGACCTCTTAAGATAAGGTAAACTACAACACACAAACTGTATCATGAAAGTATCCAAAGTAAACTGTGTGATGATAAAATAAAACACGATTGTGTTGTTTTTCAAGGATTTGAGCTAATTGGTCATATCACCAAGACATTATACACTGACGAAATAAACTGTGGATTCGCATGCCTTCAAGATGAAAAATGCCAATCTTACAACAGCAAATCCGATGCTAATGATGCAAAGAAGGAATGTCAACTGAGTAACCAAACCGAAAAATCAAGTCCGGAAAACCTGAGGCGTAACCCACGTTCTACTTATTATGGAAGAGGTACTGTTGAGTAAAGTGCTTAAAATTATGGAAAAGCTAGTGGAGGTGGGAGGGGGGGTATGAAGGGTCGGAGTATTTTGGTTGTCACAATAAAGTTTTCCTGATCCTTCCATAACGTTCCGAATTATTCTATCGATCTTCCTCATTGGCCGCCAATTTTCTTTAGTCCCACCTTTAAACTCTGTTAGCGACGACTGATCCCCCCTCCGTTTCCTTTGAAAACCATGAGATACCCCCTCCCACCCCTCCCACCCCCTCTTTCCAAGCGAAAAGTGGTGACCTATTTCTAACTTCTGGTCAGCGTATGTATAACATGGCATGTATAACCTTTCCTGAGAGAATATGAAGTTTAAAATCTCTTGCTTTTCCTTATAATGATAGGTTTTCCATTTTCTTAGTTTGAATTGAAAGATGCTATGGATCCTACAAAGATTTCCAAAATCATGAGCTATCTAATAATTACGCGAAAGGAATTACTTGTGGAATAAGACCTCTGTGGCGTGTTTTGTTTCTTATTTTGATCCTCTCCTCGTTCCAAATGATTATTCTTCACTTTTCCTATGCAGATAAAAGAGGTTGGGATTCTGCTCATCCGGCCTTCTCTTGTAAAGAAATTCTGGACTCTGGACACTCCAAAGGAGACGGGAAGTATTGGATCGACCCAGAGAAGAGTGGAAACCCTTTGAAGGTCTATTGTGACATGTCAAGATATGGTGGTAAGAGAATGGATTTTTTTTTGAGACACGAGGACTTCAACCGGAGTATGTTTGACTTGGTGCAGTTGTTATTGGAACATTCTGGTCTTGGCTATTCGTATTATGTTTTTAATCAAAACAATGGCAAAATTCTCGAACGTGATTTGTTATCACCAGACGGCCGATTTGAGCACTAATAGGACAGTGTACGTGTCATGCTTGTAAGTGGACAATGTAATGGGACAGTTAAGGGGACAGTTAACACGTGCGCTGTTGTCTCGCATTTCGCCGAGTTAACTGTTGTTTTTTTGTTTTTATGAAAACGTATATCTAGTTTTATGAAAACTGATGTCTAGTTTTGATTTCTCAAATTTTAACACAGTTTTGATTAATTGGTAACAGGACTTCTGGTCGTCCAATTCTGTCTCTAATGATACTCGTGATTAACAATTCGGTCTCCCGCTTTGCGGTCCTACGATTTTGTTAATCACTCGTATGATTTCAGACCGAATTGGACTCCGCTCGGTTCTGTTACCACTATTAATATGTCCAAAGTTCTATTTACATAGATGTCACCAGATCATTGAGGCTTGTTTTATTTTAGGAGGTTGGCTTCTGGTGTCAAATGTTGAGTTCGGCAGCCCCTCTTCTAAGGTGTCAGTTGAGACATCATACCGTGGGATAGGTAAGTCACACATGGTTCTGCAGAAAAGTGCCATGAACGAGCTCAGAAGACACTTGTCCTTCACTCAGCTGAGACTCCACTGCCACAAGAAACAGGGACGCACATTCCACGTGGTCACCACTTCCAACAGCTCAGGTGAAGCTGTGGTCCAGTACTTCAGCGGTCAGACAGATGAGCAACCGGATGCCTGTGGTTCGTTTGTGAGTTTGAAGTGGGATGACAATTCCAAGTTAGCTGACATTTGCAAAGATTGGGGACTAGTAAGTGGAGAGTACTTTGTTGGAAAGTGGGGACATGGTGAAGATCAAAACAGGCTATACTGGTATCCCGCATTCAAAGTACATGCGTATCACCTTAGGGTCCACTTGAATAACGTTGGTGACCTCAACGTAATGCAATGCGATGATGTTGCCTCTCAGACCGTTAACACAATCGGCGATTTCTGGAGAGTATTTGTTCGTTAGTTGCGTTTAACTCAGACCTGTCTGTACACCAAGCAACCCTGGACTGTGCGAATAACAGTAACAAACGAATAAAGCAAAATAAAGACAAATGCACCGTTACCTTCATCAAGTTATAAGAATTTTTTTTGTTTCCATTTCGGGGCAAGGGAAAGCAATCCTCACTGTTTCCGGTGGGGCCAGTTTGAAAATATTTTCTCATACATCCCAACTCGAATATGAATGCCAAAAATTACTTTTGGTACGTAGGCAGGCACCCACATTTGCTGCGGTTTCACGGTGAACGACCTTAGCACGCGAGAGTCGAAAGTTGAAGTTGTTGTTTTTTCGGGGGCTTAGGGAATTTTGTTCACCCTAGAAAGTTAGTGTATTTTGATTCACGGCGCGTGACATATTCAACCATCCAATCAAAAAACGTATTTGAGTTGAGATGTACATAACTATTAAATTTTCACAACTGCTTCCTTCTAAATAAAGGTTGAACTAGTGAACACGTCAGTGTTAAGTTCAAGAATTCTAAACATGATTGGCTAGTTGATCGGATCGCGAGCGTCGCGCGTGAATACTAAAAATTCCAGAGCAAGAGAAAAGAACACTTTGCAGTTCGTAAACAATTCACGACTGACTCGAGAAAATTTCAACGACCTGTTTGATATGGTGGGAAGCTATTGAGAAAAACTATGCTTCGCACAAGAAGTCGAGGCTAGCTAGCTGCATGGGAAACCTCCCAGACAATAAAAAAGTAATCATACAGATATTGACCTTCAACCCCTCAGGGATTGGGGGGAGGATTTTTTTCCACTTTTTAGACATGACACGAGTTTTTATACTGTAGCCAATCACTATCGAAGAAATTTTAATTTTTAATGATTGAGAGGTTTATATCAAACACAATAACCGGGCATTATATATATATACTTTTTTTTTTATTGTGTTCAGAGCTTCACACAAGTTAAGAACGATACTATGCTTTTAGTACCCATAAGCTCCTTTTCCTCCAGGTTTTCTGTCGACTCAAATCTCGATATCAGCAACGTCATGTGCCTCTTGGAAGAAAACGTTGTCGTCGTGGCGGACCGGAGAAGGTTACATAAGAGCTCTTTTCATACCGCATGCAGTTTACAATTAGGAGGCTAGAATAGTCGTCATTCCATACAGAGGGGGTTCTCCTATCACATCGAAGGTCTCTGTGTCAGAAGGTCCACTAAAACTCACACGAGCGACAATCTCGCTAAGAGGTCGAGACTGGACATTGCTTGTTTAAAGATCAGTGGTATCTATGTTCTCTCAGTGATGCAATGCCGATGCCTCGCGTGCAGATTTGCTCGATTGTTCATGACAAAATACTGTAAACGAATAATAGCTATAACTCATGTTTGTTGTATTTAGCTAATTGTCGAGAGAGGATTTGTCCGTTAATTTTTCTAGTTTTTAATTTAATCCTTACTGGCCTTACGCCTAGCCATGGTAAGAATTCTCAATTTTACTACCTCGATAAAATAAATGACAAAAATACAGATAAAATGCATCATTTTACACGACAGCGCACTCACAGTCTAGACAGTCAGAACCATAGCTAGGAAACGTAATAAAGCGATTCATTGTTTTAAGACGGCGAAACTACAGCTAGAAGGCCTCTAAAAACTATAAAAACTATAGGGTTGTGACGTAGGACCCCACATAGACTGTTCCATTTCAAGCTTGACTTGTCCATTTCACTTTTGTATTTTTGGCGGTTACGGCGAAAACCAACTGCTGTAACACTAAACCATTTCGGTTTCTACTAAACTTATTGTCGTCACGCTAAACCATTTCACTTTACGGTGAGTAGATTGATGCGATAATGAGCCATTGCGGCCTACTATCAACCATTTGCCGATAGCTTGAGCCATTTTACACTACTCTGAACTGTTTGTGTCAAGTCACTGAACCAAAGTACAGTTAGCTGAACCGTTTGTCATTTCGACACTGAGTTGAGTAACTTTTGCAAGCCAGCGGACAAGTTTTAATCCTTAGCAGGGAAGGTTCCTTTATATGAGCTGGTAGTTTAAAAAGCCCTCCGTATTCTTTCGCCAAGTCAGACAAAGTGTAATTAACAAAACCCTAAATTCACAATCAGAACTATTTGTTACATCGATAAAGGGAAAGCGCGACATTTGTCATCTGTTTTTCTTTCTTTCTCAAATTACAGGATGAGAGGGCATCTAGTTAGTTTCAAGTTCTGTCCCGTTCTGTTGAGTGGTGTTGCTGTATTTCTTGTGGGTTTTAGTTCGTCTTTGCACACTGAGGTGTTGACTCGCCAAATCAATATAGTATAACTTGCTGACGTCGAACGATTTTGGCTGTGTCACGATAAACTTTACATGATTCCCCCTCCCCTCAATAAGGCTCTGTAACAATCTTACAATCCCCCTCTTTGGCAGTCAATTTTCTACACCTTCGGTTTCTCTTTATACTCTGTTAGCCAAAACAAATCCTCCTAAAAATCTCTACGCGCAACTCATAACTCCTAGGGCTTCTTCATATGATAGGTAATTTAGTGTTAACAACTGGGTTGAAAACGTAAATTAGCCACCGAAAAGAGTAAAAAAGCTGACGTTTCGAGCGTTAGCCCTTCGCCCAGCGCTCGGACGAAGGGCTAACGCTCGAAACGTCAGCTTTTTTACTCTTTTCGGTGGCTAATTTACGTTTTCAACCCAGTTGTTAACACTAAATTACCTGCTATACTCTCCCACCGACGCAGCACCACAGTTTCTTTAGAAACTTACCCCTTCTTCATATGATGACCTTTTAAGACAGGGTAAACAACTACACACAAACCGTATTATGAAATGACCTGTGGATTGAGATACCTTCAAGATGAAAAATGCCAATCTTACAACAGCAAATCCGATGCTAATGATGCAAAGAAGGAATGTCAACTGAGTAATCAAACCAAAAAATCAAGTCCGGAAAACTTGAGGCGTAACCCACGTTCTACTTATTATGGAAGAAGTACCGTTAATTAAGGTGCTTAACCTTAGGAACAAGTCATATTTTTATCACCTGGGCAGAGGGGGAGAAGAGGGGGAGGGAAAAGTCGAAGCATTTTGGTTGTCACAATAAATCGAGTCAGCCAATTTTCTTTAGTCCCACCTTTAAACTCCGTCAGCGACGACTGATCCCCTCTCTGTTCCCATTGAAACCCCCCCCCCCCCGCAAGACCCTCCTACCCCTCCCACCCCCTTTTTCCTAGCGAAAAATGGTGACGTGTTCCTTACTTCTACTAAGCGCTTTTCAGAGAATATAAAGTTTATATTTCTGCTCATCCGGCCTTCTCCTGTAAGGAAATTCTGGACTCTGGACACTCCAAAGGAGACGGGGAGTATTGGATCGACCCCGAGAAGAGTGGAAACCCTTTGAGGGTCTATTGTGACATGTCAAGATATGGTAATAAGAGAATAAGTTTTTTTCTAGAGACAGAAGGACTTTAACCGCAGTATGTTTGACTTGGAGCACTTTCTATTGGAACATTCTGGTCTTGGCTATTCGTGCTTTCTCTACAAAGATCCTTATTACGTTTTTCAATCGAAACTGTAACAAAATTCTCCAACGCGATTGGTTATCACCAGCCGGCCGATTTGAGCACAACAAGACAGTATACGCGTCATACTTGTAATTGGACAGTGTAATAGGACAGTCAAATGGACCTTTAACACGTCATGCCTGTATGAGGAGACAGAACGCGTCATGTGCACGCGCTGTTGTCTCACATTTCGCTGAGTAAACTGTTGTTTTTGGTTAACAATGAAGAGCTTGTTTGATTTATGATCATTTCCTTCATTCTCATGACTTTAATGTGTGATTCAGGGGTGATATTGTAAGGAGAAACTAGATGCTAATCACTCTTTGGGGTCAGAGTTAAAATTTGCTTTAACTTAAAAAAAAAAAGTGATGTGATTTGGGGAAGTAAAGACCCGTAATCAGGAAAGATAATAGGAGTAAGATGGCTTTTTATGAAATGGATCTTTCTTTATTCTAGACTCTCTTATATTGCTGCTTTTATGTTCTTTAACCCTTTAACTCCCATGAGTGACCAAGACAGAATTTCTCTTTACACTATCAATACAATATTAACCAGATAAGTGGTGAGAATAAAGAAAAATTTCAATTTGGGGATAATTAGTTGATCCAACAATAAATTCTTTAAACTTAAGTTATAAGAATTGTATGGTTAACAATAAGTAGAATTACAAATTTGATCTGGGAGTTAAAGGGTTAACTGTGTCAAGCTTAAGTTTGTGCTTAAAGCTGCAATTAACTCGAAGATTTCTTTCATTTTTTTAGGTGCCGGTGGTACACAGCGACTTCCAAGAGCTGTTGGGAAGTCTCTGGCTATGGAAATGGTACTCACAGGAGATCCTATTTCAGCAGAAGATGCACAGAAATCAGGTCCATGTTCCTTTCAACTTAGCTCCTAATTTTGACCAGTTGTTCATCATTACCTCTTTACCTTACAAAATCGATCAACATGCAACTTCTCCCTGTAATATTCATACATCAACCAGCAAACGGGTAATGAGAATATTTAAACTTATCAGTTCAAAGTTGTTATTTTGATCTAACATCAAAAAAAGGAAATGTGTAGCAGCTAGAGGGGAGAATTAACAATCAGATCTTGGGGGTTAAAGGGTCAAGGAGGAAGGTACTTAGCATCGCAAGTCTTCCCGGTGGCACAAGGAAATTCTCACACAAATTATTGAGAAATGTGTACAGTACTTCCACATCATCAAGGACTGCAACGGAGACACACTGTTTTATGCTAAGTCAGTGCTCTGCTAAACACTTGTATAAACCTGGAAAATTTGAGTCAAGGCGTAGATTTTTTCCCTATGTTTGTTAGCATTTCCACAAACGAACTTAACCGGTCACTTCCGAAGATGTCCGCACACCTCCGAAGACGTTTTTCAGAGTTTTTCAGTACTCTCCTCTCTTACTAATAGCTCTCGGCAAAAGTTATTCGCGCCAA